GGCAGCTGCCATCCAGGTAGATGGATGGTCCTGGCTAGAGCCTTATTATACCAAGCTCCAGCCAGAACTTCCCATATTCCTTCTCTGCAGATTGCAGGGGCAGACTCGGGGATAGGAGTGGGAGCATTTGGAGGGTCTGTATATTCAACAGGCCTAATAATTGCTGCATCTCTGAAAACAAGACTATTGGACAGAGTGTTCCTCCATCGTGAGCATGCTGTTCAGTGAGGAGGAGGCTGGGCTGTGGGAGAGGCAGGCCGGTGGAACATGTCCATCCACTCCTTGGTGAGAAGGGAAGTTCTTACTGTCACTGGCTGCTCTTTGGTGAGAGAACTGTGTTCATTGTCAATAATTGCTGTTCTGTTGGAGCCTGTCTGATATCTGCTCCCTTCTATAATTGGGTCCAAAACCCAAGGGGCACTCTTTCCTTTTGCTGTTTGTGCCAGAATGCCCGGCCCATGCCTTCCAGGGTTACTGAAATGTCAAACTCAGATGGCAGCCCTGCCTGGGAGATTCCAAGGACTTGAATCTGTCTAAAGGTAGACTTTTTACCTTCTCAAAGGCAGCCCGTTGTTTGGCTCCCCAGTCCCACATACGTCCCTACTTGACTAGACAATATAATGGTTGAAGGCATGGTGCCAGGTGGGGCACAAATGTTTACCAGTACCCCAGAATTCCCACAAAATCCTGTACCTCTTTCACATTTTTTGGATAGGTTAGGCTGGTACTTTGTGACAGTGCAGGTCTTGTACAGTTCCAGAGGCCTTGAGTGCGGTGCCCAGACCTGGAATTCTCTGTGGACTCACTGCCCATCCTCTCTGTTGTAGGTGGTCCAGCAAAGCCTGCAAGGTTTTCTGCACAGAGGCCAGTCTTCACAGGTTAGCATTATGTCATCAACAGAATGAGCCCCTTTCACAGAGGTCGGGAAGGAAAACAATGACAGGTTCAGAGCCACCGTCCCGTGGCACATAGTGGGGCTAGGTGAATAGCATTGAGGGAGCATCTGGCAGGTAAACCCAAGTGGCAAACACATTTCCTCACAGTCTCTTTGTCACTGTGAGGGCATCAGCCTTGCAGCAGAGGAAGGCTTCGGCCCGCCCAGACGACAAACGTACAGCAGGAACACAATGGATAACCCACACCGCGTGGCTGCTGAATTAAGTCCAGCTGAAGAGCACTAGGATGGATGAAGGAATGCAAATACTGAGTGGGGTTTTCCAGGGAGCCTGGGAGAACCAAGCAGCTGTCTGGGGTTCCCGTAGCCCTGACTGTTCCTTTAATTGACAACCGTTGTTTACCCATCTTAATTTCCCTGGTTCAGGAGCAGACTGTTGCCATATTACAAGGACATCAGGATGGCAAAAGTGGCAGTGAGGGGTCATTCCTGCAGAAGCAGGATGGACTTCAGCCACACGTGCCACATCCCTGTAGATTCCGTTGCTTCTGCCTTTTGCTGAACGTCAGCCGCGGCATTTCAAATGCAGAAGGTTAGCTTTTATCATTGAGAAGATTTTTTCTTTAGTAATCAAAGACCTGGTTAAGACAACATAAAACACAGAAAATTATTTTGATAGAATATAGAATCTTTGTTTTCTAGGCAGAAAACTTGTTACAATATCTTATCAGGAGCAGACCTGTAGTCTAAGAAAACGTTTTAACAGAGAGAGAACCAAACTCATATTACAACAGCTTACTTTTAATATTTAAATCCACTTAGTTAAATTCATTTTAATCTTGGCCACCCTAACCACCCATTAAAATTTTCCCCCCAAAGATTTCTTCTCATAAACCTTCTACAGTTATTGTCAAAGCTTTCACCTAAAGCCCTTTCATTCTACTTAAATCTATTTATTTCATTGGTTCTTAACAGTTATGTTTAGGTTGCCCACAAAACTTCATGAGACTTTAGACAAAATCAGCCTTCATTCTAAGTTGTTATTTTTGCTGATAAATTTATAAGGCTAGGTAAAGTAAAGGTAAAGACATGTCTGTTTTAATTAAATCAACAAACTTAAACTAGTTTTACTGTCAGACATTTTCCAAAATCGCTTGACCCTGAAAAGCATTTGGATTGGTTTCTGTATTTCTGAAAATTTTAGAATACCCAATCCTTAATTTATATAAGTGCTTAATTCCTTTAAGCCAATTAAACATAGCTCTTTTGCCAGTCAGCAGTGCCATCGGAGGTAGAATATACCACACAGTTCTGCACATATATAGACACGTGGACATATAAACAGAAGCACACGAAGACCTCAGGGCTTCCACAAAAGAAGCGTGCTCTGCTGAATGGGCCTTTCCTCCCTCACCTCCGTCAGCCAGTCTGATGCTGACAGACCGTAGACATTCCAATGTCTTTTTCTAGTTTCGGTTCTTCCTCTACTTTTCTAACCCTGGCTTCTGCCTCTAGCTGAGTGTCAGTGGCCAGCAAACTGCTCATGACTGCGGTCAGAAATTTTCCTGCCCTGACACGGCAGTTCCTCAAACAAAGGCTTGAGACTAGCTGATAAATTTTGGGGGCATCCCTGTACTCACACATGTATCTAGCAGAGGGGCCACCTTTCCCCACATGGATGTAAATGGCCAGCCTCAGATTTCCCCTGAAGATGCCTTTTCCCTAAAGCCCATTTCTTTGGTCTCCTGCCTGGCTCGCCGGTTGCTGGTGCACAGAGACCCAGGGAAAGGCGCGGAGAATGAAAAGCTACCTCTGCAAGTAGAGGGCAAGAAAAGACCAAAGAAACAGGCTGCCCGCTGCAGTCTGGTAATTAATGGAGTTTATTAAGGGAAACTTACACAGGAGACATGTCCCGGGCAGCTGCAAGGCAAAATAGACTCCTGCACCCACTTGGCAGGTGCCAAAGGATTACACAGGGTAAAAAGGAGGGGCGAGGGGATACTAGTGTGTGGGTGCTACCAGGTGGGGGAAATCAGGTGCCTGACTAGGTCAGACAGCAGCCTGCTCAGGAAACCGCAGGGAGTGGGAGGCGGGGGAGGGGTGCCGATTTATGTCAGAACGTCGATTCCCATCACTCTCTGAGTGGGGTTCCCAGTAAACAACCTTCCCCCCTCTGTCCTGGGTCCAGCTTGTGGATCCGGCAGCTGTCAAGTTATGGAACAGTCTCTCCTCCACACTTTAGGTTTAGAAAACAAACAACAATGCAATACACAAACACGCTCAGCACATATTTTTGTGTCGTGCCAGATGCCTGTCCTTCTAGTTGTGTGCTCTCACTGGTAAACACGTGAGGGCACTCGGGTTGGAAGAGGCAAACTGTCTACCCGAGGTCCCCCAAGCCGGGAATTATGTGGAGTTGGGCCATGAGACCCTGTCTTCTGGTTTCCAACCAGTGTTGACCCTTCATAGGGATTATGTACACTAAATTAGAAGGATGTGGAAACTAAAGTTTGCCCGCTTCATTTGTTTGCTTTCCCCTGACCCAGCCTTCGTTTTTGATTATCACAGTGGCATGTAGGGTGGTGGCTGTCTTAACAGCAGTGGGAGGCACCAGCTGCAGCAAGGGAGGCGAGATCAGCAGCCTTGACTGGCTGGTCACCCCGGGTGAGCAGACAGCCCACACCCTGCGCAGTTCCCAAAAGTGCCAACTCTAGCAGAGCCCAGCACAGCCAGGACATTTGTTAAGATGACCTTCATCATCAAGGAAAGTTTAATTCTGTTCAGCGTATTCTACTTATGAAGGCAGAGGAGTGCTTTATTTTAAGGTTTCCACCGACACTTATTTTACCTTGCAAAGGGGGGCAGCGTTCCATCATTTGGAAATGCTTGCAGCCCGACTTGCACATTGCACAGCGCGTTGCCCTCACTGAGCTTAACAGATAAGGGGTGGAGTGAGAGGAGTGGTGCATGCAGTTATCTACACCAGACACTTGATAAGAGATATGGGGCAATAGTATATGTGTTTAAAAAATAAGTTTTTATTGATTTCAGAGAGAGGAAGGGAGAGGGAGAGAGAGAGAGAAATGTCAATGGTGAGAGAGTCATTGATCGGCTGCCTCCTGCACGCCCCCGACTGGGGATGGAGCCCGCAACCCGGGCATGTGCCCTGCCCGGGAGTTGAACCTCGATCTCCTGGATCCTAGGTCGGTGCTCAACCGCTGAGCCATGCTGGCCGGGCCAGTAAATGTGTTTAAAGTTACAGGCATTGAAACAGAAGATCTACTGTGGAACCATATGTAATAAATTTGTCTTCTGCACTTAATTGCATGTGGAAATGAGAGTCTATTCATTTTTGTTTTTGAAGTAAAAGTGGGAACTAAATAACCATGTTTTAGAAAACATTCTCTAAGGGTTTTTTGTTGTTGGTTTTTGAATTTATACTATAGAAAGGATTCTGTCAAGATTTTTCTGTCTACAAATGTACAATGAGCTATAATGTCATTTAATACAAAGCAAGCGAGTCATTAGCTGAATTTACCTTTGCTACGATATTGAAAAAGCAAATAAGTGCCTCTGAAGGTGTATTAAAATTGAGGATGTGGAAAATACTTTTAATAGCATTTTTCTTTTTTATTTTATAAAATTAGAAAAACACTGTAAAAATTGTAATGTGTAACACAAGTCATTTCAAGGACTAAAGAAATGAAATGTTTACGTCTCAAGGCATATATTCACTTTCTGTTGAGAGAGAAAAGCGTTAAAAAATATTCTTTTATGCTTCTGAAAAAAGTTTCCAACGCGGAGTGGATGTGTAAAATGTTGTTCCTCGTGAATGTTTCCCTTTCTCGCCTGACATGAGCAAGTAGCAGGGAAGCCGCTGGCTTTGGAACATGGGAACCGATCACAGGTCTACATGCGCGTTGTGTTGATGAAAGAAGATGAGAGACAGAAAACAATTCTTTCTGCACATTTAGTGGGCATTTTGAAAATAATAGGCCCACATCGTTTTCTTCTACTGTTCCCTTTCTACACATTTATTGACGAGCCGCTGGGTAAATGCATTTTCTAACACCCTTGCCTCCGGGCTGCATTCCTTGTGTTGCAGGGGGGCCAGCCATGAGAGGCTACCTCGTGGCCATATTCCTGAGTGCTGTTTTCCTCTACTATGTGCTGCATTGTATATTATGGGGAACAAATGTCTATTGGTAAGTTTCATTTTTGTTATTTAAAAATATCTTTCAAGCTAGTCTTTCACACGGATGCACAAATGATATTAGAGAGACCAATTAAAAACCCCTGTAGCATTTTGAAACTTTTCTAGCTTTCTGTTATAAACTGGGTTTTTGCCATGCTAGTATCCTGTGCATTTTATTTCTAGCAGTTTAAAAACTGATAAGCAACACCTTTTCCTTGACTTTTCAGTGAAGCCGTGGTGTTGACCACCTTTGGGATGCAACTTTTTTTTTTTTTACATAATAGTTCATCTCCTTGAATTGATGAGTGATTCTTGGACTCAGTGGTACTTGACTTTTAGAGCCTAAAATGCTTGGCTAAGAGATTGTTTGATTAAATGTAGATACTACATGTGGTTTCCTTTGTTTATAAGTATTTGGTGAATGATGATATATGTATATTTTGAACAACTCTGACTTGAAATATCACCTGTAAAACTTTGAAGAAGTAAAGGTAGTTTTATTGCAGAGAAAACTTCTCTAATAAGATTTTTCCCCTTTCCCCATTGTCAGTCCTTTGTCTAGGAATAAAGTATTGATGACCTTTACATCCTGAATGCATGGTAGAATATGATTATATTAAAATAAATCACACAACTAGTTCTTTTTGCCAGGGTTTTAATAGTAGATCCTAGATGATGTTTCTAGCTGTGCTTACTAGATAAAAATGTAAATGTAAATTGGTACTTCTGCATTTGATGTCAGTGCTGATTGATTGAGAAATAATTATAATGCTCTTCATGGAAGGAAGTTAGGCAAATGGTCACTGGGAAAGTCCCATTGCTAGGTGGGTGGGCTTAGCCATGTTTTAGGCTTTGGACTTTTAAATATTTAGCTAGAGAACTTAGTCTGATTACACACTACATGAAAATTGTACCACAGGGACTTCCCTCCATCTCTGCCACAGCCTGTCTCTGCCCCACGCTTAGTAATGGAAGACAGGAAAAGAAAAACAAGCTTGCTACATGGCTACCTCCCTGTAAGTCCATCATTGGTCATAGAAGAAATGGTGAAGATGATAAAAGGGGTCTGAATTCAGCACAGTCTTTTTTTTTTTTTAATTTTTTTTATTGATTGAGAGAAACATCGATTTGTTGTTCCACTTAGTTATGCATTCATTGTTTGCTTCTTGTATGTCCCCTGACTGGGGATGGAACCCGCAACCTTGGCATATCTGGACGACGCTATAACCAGCTGAGCTACCCAGCCAGGGCCAGCACAGTCTTTTGTCATCAGGATTTGAGGAATGTTCATGTTACTCCTGAGCTAACGCATTACTCCAGTCAAAGAAAATACCATAGGGGATTACCTCAAATGGGTGTTGCTGTGAACTTACTTCCTTAAAAACTGAGTGGAACCTCGATTTTTGAACTTAATTCATTCTGGAAGGCTGTTTGAGAAGCAGTTATTCAAAAACAAAATCATTTTTCCCCATTAGAAAGAATTTAAATTGGATTATTTCATTCCAGATCTCCAAATGATTCCGTTTTAACCTTTCTTATATACAGTATATGTCTAATGTATTATTTAATCTCTAAACAAATACTTCTTAAATTTATCGAGCCACCCACTACTAGCCTTAAATGGGTCGTCTTCAGCACTTGTTCCAAGGGTGTCTTTCAGGAGGTGAGCATGCAGCATCTTTGTTTTTTCAGGTCATGGCCTCTGAAATGCTGTCACTTGCTAACTGTTTATCCAAATCAACAACAGTGTTCTGCCTCTTTAGTTGCCTGTGGTAGTTGTTTCTTTCACACCATTAGCAACATTGGCACTCTTGATGGCCTCTTTACGTTTTTAAATTGTGCTAATTGTCCATTTCGCCAGCAACAAAAGCAAAAACAAACACAAAAAATTTTCACAGCACAATTTCCTGAGATGTTAACGGCAGGAGGCTTAGTAGTAAACAAACTTACACTGCACATTCTCTCCTTTGTTTGTGGCCTGAGAGACACTTTTTGTCATAGTGAACAACTTGGTTGAGAACCGAATTGTTCGAGGTGGGAGACATTGAGACTGAGGTTTGAATGTGAGACAGCGGCTAGGGGCCAGTGTGGCCCCTTTGCCCTGCCCTGATACCGTGGAAGCCACCGGCACCATGAAGATCTTGACTACGGAACACGTCTTTGACCACCCGTGGGAAACTGTTACAACAGCTGCAGTGCAGAAATATGTAAACCGTATCAACCAAGTGTGGCAGGAACTGATGTATGGGACAGACACAGAGATCCTTCTGGAAAGTTGTATAGCCGTGGACTTCGCAACACAGAGTGGGGACTGCCTTCCATTGTGAAATCTCTTATTGGTGCAGCAGGAACCAAAACACGTGCAAGGACATTCTGGAGTTGATCCTGTAGAGAAAAGCATGGAACTTAAATCTTCTAATATTTTATTTGCAAAAATGGTTTCAGTAGACGAGAGGCTGATATTCAAGCCACATCCTCAGGGCCTAGAAAAAACTGCTTTGACTCGAGACCACAATCACTGAAAGTAGTTAGTAGTCATCTTGAAGGCGCTGATAGCAAGCATATCTTCAAACGCTAACTAAGGCCGAGAAGCAGTGGAATGGGTAACATAAATGCTGAGACTGAAGAATTGATGGCTTTGGAAGCGGGAGCGTATGGAGAGAAATGATGGAAGTTGGTGTACAACACCCAGCCCCTGGGTCTCTACTAGCTGGCATTATTTATTTAAAAAATACAATTATATTTTAGGTAGAATTTTTTTAATAAGCTGAAGAAAGTCTATGTGACTTGATCAAAACACAGAGGTACAGGGTTTCTAAATAAAAGGGAACATCTGAAACTATTAGTGTTGTTCGAAATGATTGCCTGGTTTTGAGGATTCCAGTATTTCTGTGAAAATTGAACACTTTTTGAAAAGTACTTGGAAGTTGGTGTTAGCATATTAAACCTCTTCCAGGTAGAATTTTCAAGCTTGCCATGCGCTGGAGCTCTACCTGGCTTGGACCAACCCCAGGACAAGGCAGGATCACCTCTAAATAGACACAGCCGCCCTGCTGCAGAAAACTTAAAAGAGGGAACTCACTTTTTTTTTTTTTTTTTTTTT